GCTTATTCGGTGCAAACCCGATTGGCATGCCGCCGAGGTGGTCGATCCACGCTCGACAGATTACTATGAGTCAACTAGAGCCCTCGGATACATGTTTCGTTCCATCAAATAGACGAATCCTGAGATGCTTCCCTCCGACTCGTCTACTTCAAAGGAGCACCGTGTTTCACAACTTTCCACAGATACTTTGTCGATGGCACTCAAGACTTACATCCAGCGTCAAATTTGGCCGTACATTGAACCTGATGGCGAGTCTCGTGAAACGATAGGCCTCTTCCGCCGGTACGAAAGTGAATTACGATACATATGTACCACACACTCTCTCTCAAACGCTCCGGGGGTCAGATTGCTGGAAGCTGAAGTCGTTGCGGGGACGATTTTAGCGAAGTGCACACAAAGAAGATGGAGGAAGGATCGTACATGGCGCATGCGTGGTCACGCTTCGCAGCTTGTGAAGGACATAAAACAAGTCTTGCTACCTCTCACTGGGCCCCAGCTTGCATTAAAGGAGGCAATCCCTGCGGATACATACAGAGACGCACTAGAATCTGCATGGGACAGCTGGGACTACAGTCTCCGCCATTCAGACAAATTCGGGGCGAAGAGTTTTGGTTTGATTGCCTTGGGGGTGATATTTGAATGTCTCGAGAAGCTCAGTGTCGACATCAGGCCAGATGAATAAAAGTATCTTACTGTATCTGAGTTGCGTATGATTTTGTTGGATGACTGCTTCTTTCTATACTAGTTCGCTATCTTCACTCATGTAATCAAGTGGCTCCAGGACTGAGCTGCGTCTTGAGACCCCACAAACCCCACGATACCTTTGTTTCGGCCCCAGGATAGCTGAGAGCCCACGTAATAGCATACTGGTTAAAGACTACTAGAACCACTCCATCCGGGAACTCAAGAGTTGACATGATCCTGCGTACCAATAAGCTTGGAAAGAAACCGAATGAACAATCACGCGCGAGATGAAGACGGGAGTAGTTCAATCTCATAGTATCTCAGCATGCAGGATTTGGGGGTGAATCTAACGAAGCACGTAACTCGTGCAGATATTTAGTTAGCAAGAGAATTCTAAATTCTACCGCTTCGGTATCTGGTCACCGGTACTTCTTTCGCTCGCTTATCAGAACAGCATGAAATCCCGAACGAACGTCTGCTAAATCGATGGAGGACTACGCCGGTTTGAGTATCATCTAAAATCGCGATTTGTGTTTCTACCTCCTGACTCGGAAAGACTGTGTGATTTGCTACATTTCTGTTATTTTTTAATTTGAAAAAACTGGTTATCCCAGAAGAGCAGACCCAGAGATAGTAAAAGCCCAAAGATTATTCTACGGCTTTGGATCGTGGCCCACACTGGATGCCCTAGTAAAAGGCGAAGGGACTGGAGTGTTGGGAGCTACAAAGCCCAATACGTAGACTTCTCACGTTTTGATGGTCATCTTAAATAGCAGTTTTGATTTGATCTTCGATAATTAAGGCCACGTGTCTACCTTCCTCCTTTACTAATACCATGACACTTTCTCCAGTGGAACGAAATAGCCTGATACGAGCAGCTTTCGAAGGTATCTGCGATCGACTTTGATAGTGTTTCTAGTATTGAATACTAGTATTCTATAGCTAAAGATAAAGCGTATAGTCCTTATTCTCATTTTCCTGTGGGCGCCGCTCTACTGGCGCTGGACGGCACTATAATACAGGGTTGCAGCGTTGATAACGCGAATTATGGTGAGGGATATCCTTTCAGCGATGTGTTCCCACAAGTCCAGAAACTTACACAGCTCCCAGCTGATACGATCTGCGCTGAACGCGTGGCCATTGTCAAAGCGGTTGTCAGTCCAACGTGATCTTACTTTTACCCCAGCCCAGTTACCGATAGATGATCTTCTCAGAGCGACGGAATCACATATTTCCGAGGGCTCGCCATCACATCGTAAACGATTCTAAATTTATTCCGACTCCTCCGTTGACGGCCTTTGCCAGAAATCTATTTTCCGCGATATCACCATGTGGATTGTGCCGTCAAGTCCTCCGCGAGTTTTGTGGTCCTGACATGCCGGTTCTTCTCGTTCCAGGTGATTATCCTTCTTCCGACGTCAACGAGACGACTCTGGGGGACTTGTTTCCTTCGTGAAACCCAACGCATGGGAATCGAACTAGTACGAAGAATGCTCGAGACATCGCTTCAGACAGCCGTATTCGACTGGAAGACCCGTTCATTTGGGGTTCACTGGTACTCTCCTGCCAAATGAAGGCCTTTCTTTACCTCCATACTCATTTGTCCACTCCATAGTGGCACAGACATCGTCTCTCGTCTCCTTCAGCTAGTTTAGCTACCCCGTCTCCAGGTCCCAACGTCTCTTTCCCTCCGAGCGAATTGAGGCCGGTGATCTGCCTTTTTCCCGAAAATCGCGTCTTCCCCATTCTGACGTTTATTTTTAGGTTTAATTGAACCAATCAGCATGCTATCATCTCACCGATGAGTGATCGTGTGGAGGGCGACATCGGGATCAACTCTGACTCTGTGATCATCGCCAAGTACCCTCTGCACCATCTGTAAACAGTCAAGTACTCTGTGCACGCGTGCCAAGCACTTCATCTCTGTTGACTGCCTTGAGGTGCCCACTGGGAGCGTACATACTACAGAGTCAGCTGTCAGCCGTTCTCTGCCTTTCCAACTGGCTGTCTCTTTCAAAGTCATGTCATATGACGTGTCCCTCATGCAACGCTACTCCACGTGCTAGTCGGTTTAGAGGATTTCTCCAACCATATGCATATGCGCATACCTACCACGACATTGCAGCCAACCATAAGGAACCTCCATGGCGCCTATTACCTGCGCGTCTCGCGATCCTTATTACCTTCGTTCTGATGTCGATGCCCCAGTAATAGCCGCGTAAATTGTATAAGAGTACAGGGGGACGCCCAGGAAAGGACAACCGACAATGGTTCCTCTACTTCCCCTCGTCCTGTCTCTCGTCGCTGCATGCCTCGCGAGTCCCACCCAGCATTCAAGTTCTCCTACGACGCCGACTCAATCATGCTTCCCCGCTCTCGGGTTCTCGATGCCAGATGCGACGCCCGAATCCCTCGATAACTGGTGGTGTCCGTACGAATCAGACTACGCGTTCGTAGGGTTCAGCTATGAGGTCACTGCATGTATGGCTTTTTTCCCTCTTCTGGTCGTCTAGTGCCCTCTTTTCTCATCGTTGTTCATCTAGGTCAGAGTCTCAAGCAGCTTAAACGCGAATTCAAGGATATACGCGAGAGGTTCAATGGGCGATACGTTCGTATGTATGGCGCGTGCGACCGAGAGGGATTCTAGTATGCTCTTCCCCCCTCCATCTATTGTGATCTCTGGTAATTAATGTCACACTCACAGTGACGACATCATCACTGCAGCATGGGAAGCCAACCTCGGCGTGCACGCTCTCATCTGGGTACGCCCCTTCACCCATCCATCCATTCTTCAACTTGTCGTACTCACTCTCATTCTTTCTATTTTTTTCCCTTCCCAGTTCGGCTTCGACGGCGACGACATCTGGATCTCCCGCCGGGACACGCTCCTCGCTGCACTACACGCCAACCCCAAAGCCCCCTTCGTCACTCGGGTCTTGCAATTCGGGTCTGAGCCGCTTTTCGACAACGTGCTGGATCCGGATGACCTTGCGGAGCAGGTGTGGGAGGCTAAAGCTAATTTGTCGAGTCTGGGGATTCCGGTGACTATTTCGGATATGGCGTATGGGTATCAGGTAAGGAACTTTTGGTGGTTGTTGTGTTTGGTGGATGATTTACTCGCTTCTTAGGAACGCGGGGGTGCCCAGTCGGTTTTGGACGCTATCGACCTGATCGACGCGCATATGCTACCGTTCTTCTCCCAGCAAGCGTCAACTGGTTCGTTCGTTGCTTGATATCTTCGGAAACTGCTTGACTAAACTGATTGTTGTAACTAGCCAACAATTCATGGCCCATTGTTCTTACCGATTTAGATTGGTAAAGCCATACATATTTTGCCTGTCGGTCTATATTCACGTCTCTGTCTAGGTTCCTCGATAATGGTGAAGGAAAGAAGATATACCTGAGCGAGGTTCGTCTGTTCTCTTAATGACCATGATCATCCAGACATAATCGACCCCTCCATAGAACGGATGGCCTTCCGTTACCTCCGAAGGCGTACAGCCCAACAGCCCGTATGCGGTATCCGATATACCCAACGAACACGTACGTCGTCCTTCCTCGTCTCTCATTCCCATTCCCATTCTAATTGCATCTTGCACTGATTAGGATTACTACGTCCTCCTCGATTCGCAATGCGAGTTCTTCAAGACCGTAGAGGGGGGCGGCGTCGGCTGGTTTGCCCACATCTATTCGGACAACCAGGAGCCCGGATACGGGATCTACGACTCTAAGGGGAAGATGAAGTTCGATTTTAGTCCAAGGACGGAGTGTTGATCCTAGATCCAGTCCTTCAGTAGTGTAGTTGGGCAAGTATAACGTATATATATTCACAGGTAATCAATGATGTAAATTAATACTGGGCGCGAAGTGATGACACACTGTCCAAGCACTGAGCAGTGGGTACGAACCTGTCTCGTCAGCACTTCATGGATTATGCTGCTTTGATATGTGGAATCGTGACTTCGGGATGACACAGGACGCGATAGACAACCCCGAGACGTACTATCTCCTTAAATAAAAGTCTCGGTAAATAAATCCCGAGCTGACGGTGAGAGATGAACCGTCTTTGCCTTAGTAAAGTTTCTCTACCTGTAGCACAGAGTACTGCGGTCTAGATGCACCACGGCGGGCTTATCGTCAGAAATGGTTCTGAGATCTTGTGTCCTCATATTTGTCAAGAGATTGACAGTATTTTGGGCTGCACATCGTTGTTAGATGCTCTTTCAGGTGAAAAAGTTACAGCTTGAAGGGTGTAGCGATAGAACGAAGCAGCAATGTTTTGTGCTGTTATAGGTGTGGAAGACAGAGTTAGCGTCGGCCGACTAGCTCAGTTGGTTAGAGCGTCGTGCTAATATCTCAAATTGTTTGCGGATGTTATTAACGCGAAGGTCTTGGGTTCGATTCCCACGTTGGCCATACGGACTTTTTTGTTGCTATGATTTTTTCCCCCCTGTGTCTCAATGGCAAAGGCTTCTCTTCAGTAGACTGTAGAACGATCTCAGGAAGTAACATTTGATTCTTCGGCAGCAGACGTCTGTTCTCAGTGTACCTCTCCCTTCCCACCTTCTGATAGTTATTGAGAATCGTACATGCACGGTTTATTAGTCTCCGGAATCAATATGAAAATCCAGGGCGTCCACATTGAATACCAGAACCCATGATCCTCGCACTTTTCGTGTGTTTTCCTCTCCTATGAGCTATAAGTTAGTGCAGAGTACTACAAAGGAAGATTTCATTCTGTAAACATGAAAATATGGTAGTAGAGTTGGATGTGACGGTGATGTTGCTGCTCCTGCATCATGACATGAAAGGTAGGTTACGTTGATGAAAAATTTCAAACAGTGCCAAATACAGGGACCAACACTCCGTGGCGTGAGTATCACTCTCGAGTGTGTACGACGACAATACTTGGAACTGTTGACTGCGAACAAGGAGTTGTGAAAGTACGTTTACGTGGTGATCGTTCCGACTTCTATTGTAAGCGGTATCGCACTCCGTTCGAATAATTACACGAATCGAGATTCACCACTAGGGTCCTGGGTTGTACAGGAGACCCTAGGTTTCGACTTGGACCTTGGTTGAGCTTTGCGTTTTGTGATGGGGAAAGCACTGTGAATGTTGTTGTCTATAACTCAACGGAAACTAAAGAATGCAAAGGAAGAGAAGGAAAGAGAGCAGTTCGAGTTCTTTTCTCGTCCTGGGCCCATCCTAAGGTACTTCGAAAAATTAATGAATTCAAGGCAGTGAAGGTATATTGAGGGCAAGTCACGGTCAACTCTCTCAAGGCTGATTATGTACAGTGGAATATGACACCGGCGCTGGTCATCAGAAAGCGACTTACTCTCCCGTTATATTCGTGTACCTCGAGGCTTCGAATAGGAAGCGAGTCTCGCAATCGCAGAACGGACACTCTGGATTCGATAGTTGGTAGGGAGTGCGTAGCCGATTACACCACCTTGTCAATACTTAAAGACATCTGCAAGTCGAACCCAGAGACCATGTTCGTTTAAGTTAAAGTCCACAACACCTCTCCTTCTGACGATTATCGAGAATCCATCAATTAGTCTCCGAATAAATATGAAAATCCACCGTGTCTACCAGATAACCCATTCGTTACACGTTCAACAACGCCTCTGCGGCCCGTTTCGCATTAGCCTTCATCGCCTCCAGCTGGAGCTCCAAATTCCTTATCTTCTCCCTTGCCTCCCTCAGCTCGGCTCTAAGTTGGGCCTTTTCGGGCTGGGAGGAATAGTCAGCAATTGAAGGTAAGATAAGAGGAGGGGTGCTTACGTCTTCTACGGGGGACACAGATTTCGGGGTAGGTTCTTTGGGAGGAGGAGGGGTGGTCTCCTTTGGTGGGGAAGGCTCGGGGTGGGAGTAGGATCGGGAGGCGGACATGGGGGGCGCTGAGGGGGTGGATGTGGGGGGAGGCTGCGAGAAGGATACGGCGATCGGGGCTGGCGCAGGGACGGGTGTCGATGCTGTCTTCGTCGGTGCAGGACTGGCCACGGTCTTGCCCGTATCAAGGCTAACCAACTTGCGCGTAATTTCTCCTCTCCCGGAGAAGTACTCACCTGCGGTGAGGGACGGTTCTTTCGCTGGGGCGGGAGGGTAGATGTCGGATTGGAAAGAGTCGGCTTTGCGGGGGACGATGAACGCGATGGGCTCGATAGAGGAGCCGTGCACCTTGTACGCGCGTGCGATCTCACATTCGCTGATGTTCAGTGCGCGCCGCGGGAGGAAACACATCCCGCGCTGCGGGTCGGAGGATTTGTATTCCGATAGGGCGTACAGCGAGGAAGACTCGTACTCGTAGTACCGGATGTTCCCGTCGCCCTTCCCAGCGAGGAACAGGATATTGTTGTCCGACCAGAAGGGCATGACGACCCCCGCGCTCTGGTCGAGCGCTGTCGTCTTCTCGTTCGCGAGCCCCTGCCCGACGTCCCACACCCCGACCTGGCGCTCGCTCATCTTGCTGAACCCGGTAGTGGCGAGCTTCCCGAGGTCGCCCATCCACGTGACGCGCGCGCCCTTGATCCCGCCGTGTGCGTCGACCGCGCGTATGGCGTCCCCACCGGTGCGCGAGTCGAATATCCGGAGCTTGCGGTCCCGGCAGGTGGTGGCGAGGAGGATCCCGGTGGGGCTGAATGCGATGCTCTGGATGGTGTCGGTGTGTCCGTTCAAGACGAGCTGCGGGTCTTCGGTCCGCGCGAGGTCCCATAGCTTGACGAGGTGTTCGCCAGACGCGCTGGCGAGGACGTTCTCCGCCGTCGGGTGGAACAGGACTTGGCCGACTTTGCGCGGGCTGGCGTCGATCCGCCATACGGGGTCGAAATCCTTGGGTACCCACCCTTCGGCGCCCCACCCGTCGAAAGCGTCGGGGGCGACTTTCCAGATCATGACTTTGCCGTCCTCGCCGGCGGAGGCGACGAGTGCGTCGTCGTGCGGGGACCAGTCGGTGTCGAGCACGGGTGCGGTGTGCGAGCGCGCGAGGGGGAGCGAGTCGGGGAGTTTGTACGGGAGGGAGGGGTGCGCCACGAATGGGGAGGGTAAGGGCAGGATGGCGAACGCCCCTCCGCCGGAAGCGTTCCAGTTAAGGGAGATGTACTCTGCAGATGCGGAGATGACGTTCGTGTCCCAGGCGCTGCCTGTCACTTTGACGTTCTCGAAGCCGTGGTCTTTTTTTGCGGCTTGGCCAAAGACGTGGCTGCGGGGGATGTCAGCGCAAGTCAGATAGATGGGAGATAGCGTACCGGTATTTTGAGGCTCGGACGAATCGGGACATGCTGGTGGGTGTGTTGCGAAGGTGATGAAGACGAAAGGAGAACACTGATCGTCGATAATAGCGCCTGTAAATAAACAGTACAGCCACGTCGGTGGTCGGGCCGTAGTAGCCGAAGTTAGGCTTTGCGCAGATAGTACCGAATTTGCAAATCATCCCCTTTTTCCTTTCCTCCAACCATGTTCCTCCGCTCGCTCGTTCGTCGTTTCGCGACGTCCGCTACCGAGCCAGTGCGTAAATATTCCCAATGCAGAACTTATCTCACTTATTTCTACGCAGCTACGAAAAACACCTTTGTATGACTTTCACGTCCAAAATGGCGGGAAGATGGTCCCCTTCGCGGGATACTCGATGCCGCTTTCGTACGGCGATGTAGGAGCGAGTGAGTCTTCCCGTTCCTCACTAAAACCACTCGTCCATCTAACCCGCCTATTCCGGTAGTCGCCAGCCACAACCACGTCCGCACCAGCGTCGGGCTATTCGACGTCGGGCACATGGTTCAATCCAACTTCCGCGGGCCCACCGCGCAGCCCTTCCTCGAATCCCTCACCCCCTCCGCCCTACGCGCCCTCTCCCCCTACACCTCCACCCTCTCCGTCCTGCTCAACCAGCACGGCGGCATCATCGACGACACGATCATCACCAAGCACGCGGAGGACGCTTTTTATGTGGTGACGAATGCGGGGAGGCGGGAGCGGGATTTGGCGTGGTTTGGGGAGAGGGTGGGGGAGTGGAATGAGGGGGAGAGGGCGTTGAGGGAGGGGCCGGTGGAGATGGAGGTGTTGGAGGGTTGGGGACTCGTTGCTTTACAAGGTAAAAAATTCAACCCTCCCTCATTATTCTAGCTTACACTCCACCTCCACACAGGCCCCCTCGCCGCCACGTACCTCCAATCCCTGACCTCCTTCGACCTCCGCACCCTCACATTCGGCAAATCCGCCTGGGTCCCCATCGACGGCGGGTACACCCTGCACGTCGCGCGCGGCGGCTACACCGGCGAAGACGGCTTCGAGATCTCCATCCCCCCACAGAGCACCCTGGAAGTCGTCGAAGGCCTCCTCTCCCGCGAGCCCGTGCAGCTCACGGGGTTGGGCGCAAGGGACTCGCTGAGGCTGGAGGCGGGGATGTGTTTGTACGGACAGGATCTGGACGAGGATACTACGCCGTTGGAGGCGGGGCTGGGGTGGGTCGTGGGGAAGGAGCGCAAGACCGCTGGTGGGTTCATCGGTTTTGAAGGCGCCATGAAGGCTCCGGGGAGGAGGCGCGTGGGGTTGGAAGTGGAGGGCGCCCCGGCGAGGCAGGGCGCGAAGATATACGAGCCGGGGACGGATGTGTTGTTGGGGAATGTGACGTCGGGGATCCCGTCGCCGACGCTGGGCAGGAATATCGCGATGGGCTATGTGGCGGTTGAGGGGGGGAGGTGGAGGAAGGGGGCGGAGCTGGAGGTTGAGGTGAGGGGGAGGAGGAGGAGGGCGAGGGTTGTGGGTATGCCGTTTGTGCCGACGAGGTATTGGAGGGGCGGGTAATGGGGTTGGGTAAGTAGAGAAGAGGGGGGCTCGTTCTTAGAGTGTTATTGGTGTTGTACTTGATGTAGAAGGGGCGTCCGACAGACTCGGTACAACGAAAATAGAATTTATTGAAACGCACGACAAGGAAGAAAGAGAGAAGGATGGTAATACGGTGTCTCGTCACGACTCGCAACGGTGCATTCAAGAAAGACGAGGAACCTTCCAATTAATCCACTCTGAATCCACGAACCCGAGGCCATTCGCCCAGGTTACTGGCAGCTTCGCATCATACAATTGAAGAGCCGAACCTTACTTCGACCTTGCAAAATACTTTGTCAGAGTACTAGGCGAAGGGATCGTCTAAGATTGTGTCAGGATAAAGCATTCTGATTCCCTATTGCTTTCCGGAGCCGGATTCTCTCCTCTGAGCATCAGCTTCAAGCTTGGAGCAGATAAGGACATACGTTGGTATCACGGAACTCCCAGGATAACCTTCAAAGTTGAAAGGAGAGCGAAGCACACCAAGTCGAAATTTCCCAAAACGAAAGCGAACAGAGAAGAACGGTAAACAACATCACATCGCAGGGTACGATCAAGAAAAGTCAGGAACCTTCTAATCAACCCAC